TAGTCCTGGGAATTCAGAGAACAAACAATTCTGTCCTCAGGGTCTCAAAGCCCTGAGGGGGAAAAAAAACAAGTAAAAATGGGTAATTCCAGATAAGTATGTGGTGAGAAAAAGCATAAAAGCACAAAAAAGGACACCAAATTCAGGAAGAACACCATCATCAAAGGCTTAACTAATGGAACCTCCTTGAACTGGGACTGTGAATCTTCAAATTTAGAACACAGAAAAATAACAGACGGATTCTCTTGGATGGCAGAAGGGAAGAGTGGATTTAGTTGACTGAATAGGAAAAGGGTAAAGAGAGATTGCAAGATACGGATAAAACACACAAATCCAGATTCTGGAGGAACAGCAAGTACAGGTGGTGCATAGAAATGCCACAAGAGATTACACTAGTGGTCACATAGTGAAGCACCTTCACTGAGACTTCAAGGAACAAGTCAGGGTCAGGTTTCACAGTAGAGTTACTCCACTAGCAGTGAGGGCTGACTGGAGGAACAGATGAATGAACAAAGTGTATTGCTAAAACTGCTTATTTCTAAACGAGGTATGTCATAGTTCCAAGTTCCCTTGCAACTAACCTTAGGAAGTGAACCTAATAACATTGACCCTAGGCATTAGCAGTCTCTCTCATAATCTCACGCTGTCTCTTCCTTCTTCTGCAAAAGACATGTGTCCACAAGGATAGAACAACAGGAGGGCACTCTCTGCACCTCTGGAACACACCAAGCTGCTCATTGAGTGACAATATATCTATGTTGAATTAAATCACCTGGACGTTGGCAATGAGATTCTCCTAACATAGGTACCTGGCTATCTGGCCATAAGCTCCATATGAGCAAGGACTGGAATATGAATGAAATATAACATGTAAAATGGGTAAATAAATTGTCTACCAAAGATGTTAGGGGAATGAAACAGACATACCGATACTAGCAAAGGAATGAATTACATTCAAGATATATTGCAGAGACAAGATGACCAAGATTTGAGAAGTTCTGTGGTTTGAACATCTGTCCCTCCAAATTTAGGAGTTTAATCTCCCAGGAGTTGTGTTGATGGCACTAAGAGGGTAGAAGCCTAGTTTAATGATGGTATTTGGCAGTGGCTTTGCAAAGAGATTACATTGTACGAGGCCTGCAAGGTGGATGGAGCCCCTACACCTGCTCTCCCTGTCTCATGCTATATCAGGCTTTGCATTGCTTCAGCATCCTGCCAGCAACAACACCATCATCAGGGCTTAACCAATGGAACTTCCTTCATCTTGGACTGTGAATCTTCAGGACAACGAACCCAAGTAAAATCCTTCCCATTGTAAAATTATCCTGCTTCAAGTATTTTACTATGCTAACAAAAAGCTAACACTGTTGCTAAATAGTTGTAAAGAAAAAGGAGTCTTCTGGAGGCCCAGTTTGGATGAATCAATGTGCTACAGTGCCATCATTGAAAACAGAGCATGATTTCTGTATTTAATCACAAGTGGGAATGACCTGGATTAAAATAAAACCACTTGAGTTAGCTCTGTTAGAGTGACCATCAACAGTGAAGACGAGTAAGAGTAGGCATTGAGAGCCCTTGGAAGAACAGAAACAACGAACCAACGTCAGGTACTTAAACCAGCAGGAAGAAAAAAATAACTCACCCTTGAGATCTCTAAGATGGGGTATTAGGAGTGATGAGTGTGAGCTCCCAAAAGAAGCAGATCAGAGAGTCAGAAAAAAGAATGCTCAGTGTTGTTCAAAGCACCAGAGTAAATCTGTAAGACGAGTACAGGAAAAGTGTGTATCTGATATGGCATTTCAGAATCCATCTGTGACACATTATGAAGAGATTCACATGAATGAGATGATAGGGACACTGACACAAATGCTCTGAGCAGCAAAAGGAAAGAGTGAGTGGAGATGGAGAGCCTTAACTACTCTAGAAATCTTGTATGAAAAAGAAATAAAGAAATTGGATACTCTCTGGAATTTGACTCAAGAATTGTTTCTGTATATATTTTTCACATAAATCATATAGTTATGGTTTCCAATAAGTAGCCACTGGTGATGTGGCTACCGAGCACCAAAACTATGGCTATTCATCCAAACTGAGATAGGATGTAAATGAAAATGAATGCTAGATTTTGGAATTAATACAAAAATTTGATTTAGTACGGAAAAAGTATATAAAATGCCATAATAATTATTTTATAAGAAATTCAAGTGAAATGAATAGTAATTTGGATATATTATGTTAAATAAAATGTCTTACTGAAGTCAATTTCACATCATTTTTTCCCCATGTGTGTCTATTTAGATACAAAACCATGAATGTGGTTCATACTATTTCTATGGGCAGTGCTTAGTGGAAACATGCTAAAGGCTGGTAAAGAGTAATAACAAAAGAGACAGTTGTTACAGATCAGTGCACTAAGATGCTGCCACCCTTTCCGAGTATTGGATAGAGTCCACACTCTTCCACTTCCTATCCAGCTTCCAGGTGATGGCTGAGAAGTGAGAGTGATAAGAAAAAGAATGGAAAGGGATATGCATTTGGTGATGATTCTAGTAGTTAGGACCCTGCTTCTAATGTTAGACACCCTCATGGAGCTCAGTTACAACTTCCTGATTTCAGCCTGGTCTGACCCTAGCTGTTACAGACACTTGAGGGGTGAATCAACAGGTGGAAACCCCCTGTCTGTCTGTCTGTCTCTCTCTCTCTTTCTCTTAATATCTACTGTTCAAATAACTCAAAAGAAAAAGTTAAAATTTTAAAAAGAAAATGAAGAATCCATAGGAGAACACAACACAGGATGAGCAGAAAGTAGGTATAGTGAACCACAATCTCTGAGTTTAACTACAAGGTTAACTACAGTTTAACTTTGGAACACGAATTATCTGCCAATAATGTAACTGTGAAGACTAGAAGTATCCTTCATGGTAATCCAGTGTAAATTCTTCCGTGTACAACAAATGAAGCTGAGGAGTGACACGAGGTGGTATACTCACTGCAAGTCAATCAGCAGAGCGGGGCCCGAGGGATCTTTTAGTCCAGCGCCCCCTCCAGGACAACAGTTGATCTGTTTTAGGTGATGCACATTAGTGTACTCAAAAATAATAATAATAAAATAAATAATAATGACATAAAATGATTTTCAAAGATAAACATTAAAAAATGTGTTCCTGACATCGATTGACTTTATATTTTCACTGCAAGCTCAAATGCGTATGTGCTGTTTAAGTAGTTAAACGAGATGTTCAGAATGACAAAATATAGCCTGGTAGAGTTTCACAGAGAAAAGTGCCAAATGATAAAATAAATGCTTTTAAAATGTGAGATATGCTTTCATTCACTAAAAAAGCTTCTCAAAGTATTGATCAACAATATATATTATATGTACACATAATGTATGTATAGAAAAGCAGTGAGAGAGATATTCTATCTGTTGCTTACTCTCCAGATTACAATAGCTGTGACTGGGGCAGACCAAGGCAGCAGCTCTGTTCAGGTTTTCCACATGTAGGACAGAGACCCAAGTATTCGAGCCATCACCAATACCCCATGATGTGTGTACCACAAAGAACCTGGAATGCTGGCAGTCTAACTCAAGTCTGACTTACTACAGGCATCTCAACCGGCATCACCATAAACCTCTCAGTCTAGCCATCTATTAAAGTTGTGATAATTCTATCATTTTGATAAATGTAAATGATTATTTGCTAATATTAACTTACACATTATGCTGCTAAAGTATTTAAGCTTTTTAGAATGTAAAGTTAAAAGTCGCATAAAAGTTCTATTAAAATAAATAAGTCAATAAACATTTCTAATCTTTCTATTCAATAACCATGACACTCAAGAAAAGGTTCAGCCTCAAGAGACTGACTATTCATTTCAACCAAAACTAGAAGAAAATCCCATACTTTATTTCTTTCTAGCAAGTAAAAATAAGTAATAAATTTACTAATAATTATATAGTTACAGCCTGATTCTTCTCCCAAAATATACCAGCAGAAAATGTTTAGCTTTAATATAATTATGAAATTAACTATCCATAAAATCTTTTTAAAATCCTAGAGTTCATAATTAGAATTTGCTAATGTTTTAACTAATTTAAATTTGAGAATCTTTAACATTCCAAGTAACAAAAGAAAATTTTAATGAGGTCATGCATTAATGTGCTTCTAATGGTGCCTAATTTTTAAGATTGAGAAATCCATTAATCCAAGAAAAATAAAAATGCTTTGAAAATATCACTGAAACAGTAAGATATAATATATGCATGTCTACAAATACAGAAATTTATCAGATCAAAATGTTTTTTGTTTGCCTATGTTCATGACAAAAACATTTACTCAAAAGCTTTTTCTTGAAACACAGTCCTTTAACCTTTCACATATACCAGACAAAAGACACAAAAACATATTTTCCAGTTTGGGAGATGAGAAAAAAAACCAAGGTTCTTGAAGCTAAATAAGCTCCCTGAGGTCATATACTTCCTGGAGAGCAGAGCAACCCTTAGTCTAGACCCTCAGATTATAGAGTTGTGGATTTTGTTTTAAAAAAAGTCACAAGTCTGAGCTCTGAGAGCCTTCTATGAAGAATCTGACCTAGGCAAGAATCTGAAGCCCTGAAGAATTTTACAGACACAAAAAAACTCATGAAAGCAATAGGAGTGTTCATTAACTATAAAAACAGAAAGTAATATGTTCAAGAGAACAAAAAAGCTATGATTGAGTATACATTTTAACTGCAGACCAAGGAGGACCATGTAGGAAGGCTAGAGTCAAATAGCAAAACTATGCTTCAACTCCTTCTAGTCTTATCTACCAGTCCACAAACAAATCTGTGTAAGATGGGGACTCAGTCCTCATTTGCAATCTCATGCCCTTGACACAACCCAGCCTCTCACAGAATTATAACAAGGATGTTGGAAATGGGTTATTGGCAATTGTAATGAATGTGTCTACTCTACTACTACTTAGGAATTTTAATTAGAATCAAGTAAATGAACTTACTTCTAGAGAGATTCTCAAGGGCTTTCCCCAGCTTCTTGCTCTCTTGAAGGATGTGGTTCAATTCATCAAAATCACGGCTTACTGGTTTAGTCCGCCAGTTCCACTTAGGATGCTCTACTGACCTTGGCACTATGTTTAAAAAAAATCGTTATTTTTTAAGCATGCTGTATAATGATACAAACTTGCTATTCATCATAATGTGAAAGGCCATACTGAGATTGATGTGCAGAATAAAAAGTATTTAACATGGAGATGATTTTTATGAGCTGAGAGAAAGATATGAAGTCTGCTTAAAGACAGTGCTTTAACTGAACAGGCAAAGGGTACTGAGACAACATACATGGGAAAAGAAAATTCAGGAATTGAAATGAAATTAACCATTTCTGTAATACAGGAGGAAACACAAAGGCAAAGTGTGTTTTGTACAATGTTAGTAGCTTAAAATGAATATAAATTTCTTCATCAGCAACTAGAAGATATTTCTAATATTTTTTTCTATGCTATCTAAAATTTCACTTTCAAAATTCTCACTAAAATCACATTTTTTCCCCCAAAATGAGTTGACCAAGGAGAGGAGACGCTATTAGGCAAGGCATTTCTTAAAAATCTAAAGTAGAGTGAAGAGTGGTAAGTGAATTTTTAAATTTTTTTTCCTTGAACAACCATGACATGAGTTTATTGTTAAATTTAGCTTTGTGTTTGTACATTGCTGTCCCAAAGTACTGAATACAATAGAAGTCACAGGAAGAAGTTCTTGGGAAACTAGAAGAAACACTCAAACACAGAAGCAACAATACTTTACTGTCAACGAGCAGTTTGGTCTGGCATTTTTTTTTTCAGTTAGTAAACTGTTTATCTAGTCCATTGATTTTTAAACTTGCCAAAAAAATCTGTGTTTAAGAGCTGCTAGGATCTTTTTCATAAATCTGATTGTGTTTCCACAGATTACAAAACTGTGGATCACAGAAGACTTTAAATAGCTATGGCTAAAGTTATACAACTCCCTTCTTCATTTTTTTTAATTTATAATTGAAATAATCTTTTGAAAAAACTGTAATTTAAGTAAAAAATTTTTAATAAAAGAATATATCAAGTTTTAACTTTAGTTACCTTTAAGAACTATCTTTAATAAAAGAGTAATCTACAAAAATATGCCTGCCAATTACCCCAAATAGTACTTTTTTCCTACTCCTTCTTAGCTTATTTTTTTTATTCTTAAGTTCCACTATATGGTTTTGTAATTAGAGCTTACCCCGCTTTCCCTCCTTCTTCTCCCCTCCCCTGTATCCCTAGTACTTTACAATAATACGATCGTTCAGTTGCAGTCATGATTCCAACATTCTACTCTTTCCATGACATTGTAGGTACAGACAATAGTAAAGAGCCTAGTGTCTTGTTGTCAAGGTATATTTAACAGTTTTTTGGGGGATCATTTTTGGAAGTAGAGATACAAACTACAGTTCTTTACTTTGCAATACTCTAGTCTCCATTACAATATTCGTTTATGAGATTATACATATATATCTTTTTGCTTTGCGTTTTTCTTTAAGATTTATACTCTGGTTTCTCTTTAGAGTGAATAAATCTTTCGCCTTTTACTAAAGATTTATTTATTTTTATTGAAAGGCAAATCTACAGAAAGAAGGAGAGACAAAGATTTTGCATCTGCTATTTCACTCCCTAGGTAGCCAAAATGGCTGGAGCTGAGTCGAATCGTAGCCAGGAGCTTCTTCCAGGTCTTTCACATGTGCGCAGGGTCCCAAGTCTTTGGGCCATCTTCTATTGCTCTTCCAGACCACGAGCACGGAATTGGATCAGAAGTGGAGCATCTAGGATACAAACCAGCACCCACATAGGATCCCGCACATGCAAAGTGAGGATTCAACCAATAGTCTATCGTGCCAGGCACTTTGCTTTGTATTTTACATGAAGGTTATATTATATCAATGACAGCATTTGCTACTTGTCTTTGGGATGGTCTTATTTCACTGAGCATAATGGTCTCCAGTTGGAGACCATTGCAAATGGTAGAATTCCAGTCTTTTTCATGTCTGAGTGATATCCCATTGAGATGGTTTGCCACAGTTTCACTATCCAATCTTCTTTCAATGGGCCTCTTGGTTATTTCCAAATCTTCACTATTGTGGATTGTGCTTCCATGATTAAAGGGATATATGTTGCTTTCTCATGTGTAGGTTTTGTATATATTCCTACAAGTAAGGTTGCTTGGTCATAAGGTAGATGGATATATAGTTGTCTGAACACTCTCCGTACTGATTCTGTAGTGAATTCAGCACTCCATGAAGCAGAATAGGGAATCATTTTTTTTTTATCCAAACCCTCTGTAGAAGGTAAATTCTCACTATGCAGGTAATTCTTACTGGAGTTAAGTGGAACATTAATATGGTTTTATTATTATTTTTATTATTATTATTATTTTATTTGGAAAGGCGGATATACATAGAGGAGAGACAGAGAGGAAGATCTTCCGTCCCATGATTCACTCCCCAAGTGAGCGCAATGACCGGTGCTATGCCGATCTGAAGCCAGGAGCCTCTTCTGGGTCTCCAACACGAGTGCAGGGTCCCAAAGCTTTGGGCTGTCCTCAACTGCTTTCCCGGGCCACAGGCAGGGAGCTGGATGGGAAGCAGGGCCACCAGGATCAGAACCAGTGCCCATATGGGATTCTGGGCGTGCAAGGCGAGGACCTTTAACCACTTGCGCCATAGCGCTGGGCCCCTAATATGGTTTTAATTTATATTTATCTTACTGTTAAGGAGCCTGGGCATTTTTTCATATGTTTATTAGCCACTTGAAATTGTTCTTTTGAAAATGTGTACATAAAAACCTTTGTCCTTGGCCCAGCACAATGGCTCAGTGGTTAAAATACTCACCTTGCATGTCCTAGGATCCCATATCAATTCTGGTTCAGATCCTGGCGGCCATACTTTCCATCCAGTTCTTTGTCTCCATGGAAAGAGTTGAGCATCATCCAAAACCTTGGGACTCTGCACCCACATTGGAGCTCTGGGGAAAGCTCCTGGCTCTTGGCTTTGGATCAGCTCTGCTCCAGTCATTGCACTCACTTGTAAATGAAGCATGGGATGGAAGATTTTTCTGTCTCCGCTATACAAATCTGCCTTCCAATAAAAATAAATAAATCTTATCTTTTAAAATTACCAAAAAACCCTCTGTCCAGGTAATATGTTTATGTAGACTTTCTTTGATCTCATGATTCAGTTTTGGTACCTGATACATGTCCAGGAATCCATCCATTGCTTAATCGAGTTACAACTTGTTTGCATATAATTACTTAATAGTGATTCCTGATTATTCTATGTATGTCCAAGGCATCTATTGTTATCCTTCCTTTTTCATCTCCGATTTTATTTGTTTTGTTTTGTTTTACCAACTGGGCTACTGGGGTACCTATTCTGTTCATTTTCTTGGGGAAACACGTCTTTGATCTATTGGTTTTATATATCAATCTTTTGGTCTTTATTTGGCTTATTTCTTCCCTTATTTAGATTATCTCTCTTTTTGTGTTTATATTGAAATTATTTTTTGCTATTTTTTAACTCCTTCAAATGTATGGTTAGCTTATTTACCTGGTGTCTTTCTTATTTCTTGACATAGGCAATAATCACAATAAATTTGTCTGTTTGCATCCCTTTGGTGGCATCCCACAGATTTTCAAGTTTCAAGCTTTCATTTGCTTCAAGTTGTTTTTTTTTTATTTGATTTTTTAAATTCATTGTTCAGTCAGCAGCATGTTGTTCAACTTCCAAGTATTTGTATATCTTCTGGAGTATTTTAACTTGCTGGGCTTCAGTTTCACTCCATTAGGTTCTCAGAAGAAAAATGAGATTTCGATTTAAAAAAAAATTCTGAGGCTTGTTTTCAGATTGATTTATGTAATCAATCCTGGAGAGGTTTTCATGCAAAGGTAAAAAAAGACACATGTGATGTCTGTAGGATGAAAGGGTCTGCCGATATCGATTCGGCCCACTTGTTCCCTTGTCTGTGTGAGTTCTGTTGCCTTCTCCCGAATTTCTGTCTCATTGATCTGCCCATTGATGTTAGCAGGTTATTAAGATTCCAACCATTATTGCATTGCTGTCTTTTTATTTCATAGAGTTAGGTGCCCTAGAATTTGATGTGCATATATTTATTATCATTATTTCATCTTGCTGAATGGATCCCTTTATCATAATGTGGTATCCATTTTCATCTCTTCCAATACTTCTCATGTTGAAGTCTATGTTATCTGATGCTAGAATGATTATATCAACTTGTTTCTTTGTCTTTTCATTAGCATGAAATATCCTTTTTCAACCTTTCACTTTCAGCTTCTGTGTATTTTTGGCAGTGATGGGTCTCTGATAAGCAACAAATAAATGAGCCAAGGTGAGGGTTGTTTCTTATCAGATCTGTTTGGTGTTCTCTGCCTTTCCTGTGTTTGGTTTCCTCTTACATTCCCAATGTTTGGGAATTTTTTTAATAACTTGAATGGATACATCCCACATTTCTGCTTTTCTTTCCACACCCTTATATTTGATCTTTCAGTGGTGCCACTTGATTCTCGGATAGTTTTCTTAGCTTTATGCAGTTTCTCTTCCATTTCTGATTGTATGTTCTCAAATCAGGAGTCTTCCAGTTCTGAAATTTGTTGTTCTACCTCATTCATTCCACTGTTGAGGCTTTTGCTTGCCTGTTTTTAAAGATTGATTTATTTTTATTGCAAAGTCAGATATACAGAGAGGAGGAGAGACAGAGAAATATCTTCTGTCCAATAATTCACTGTCCAAGTGACCGCAACAGCTGGTGCTGCACCAATCTGAAATCAGGAGTCCAGAGCTCTTCCGGGTCTCCCACGCGGGTGCAGGTCCCAAGCCTTTGGACCGTCCTCCACTGCTTTCCCAGGCCACAAGCAGGAAGCTGAATGGGAAGCAGGGCTGCATGGATTAGAACCGGCGCCCATATGGGATCCTGACATGTTCAAGGCGAGGACTTTAGCTGCTAGCCCATGGCACTGGGCCCTTTTGGTTGCTTTTTAAAGTCTCTCTATTGTATTCTCACTTCAAATATTTCCATTTGATTCCATTTTATGGCTTATATCGTCTTTGTGA